ACTGACTGAGACGTGCCAGGCTCGAGCTGCGAGGCTCGGCGTTGCCTTGTAGATGTGCAGATTTGGACGGCAGCCCAGGATCTGAGTCCCTCCCGCCTTGTGAGGACTCAGAGCCCGGGATCCAGCCTGAGCCCAAATGCCTACACTGCTGCGGTTTAGCCCTGACGCACAGTCAGCTGACCTTGCTGTGTAGATGCACGGTCCTGGTGACTGAACATTGTCCCACTCCCAGAGCTGCTTCTTAGGCTGTGAGGCCTGCAAGGAGACTCCTGACTCCACGTCTCTGGGCCTCTTGAGAGACCTGCACTGCCATCTGCTGTGTGTTCACCTCCCGGCCGGTCGTACTGTCCATCATCTCCAATGGGCTGGGCCTCGTGTCCCTGGGAGCTGGGTCAGACGTCTCTTCGGATTGCTCCAACCCGAAGATTAATTCTTCTGCTTTGTCTCTTTAGGCCTTGGGCTGCCTTGGGGTCACGGATGAGCTTGTCCTGACTGCACTTCGTAACGCTGTACGTGTAACCCGTGGGGACGGTCATTCTCAGTAAAGTGTTTTTAATAACGACCTCCACTTTAGTGCCTCTCGTTGGCAGTTCATCACCAGGAAGTGGGCCTGACCTTCTCCTCTTCCTCCTGGAGCAGACTCATGGCTAAAGCGCCATTCACGGTCGTTCTGCAGCCTGGTCCGTAACGGGGAGCTGGGTTGGAGGAAGGGACTGGCGGTACTGCAGCGTCATGGGACTGAGGCAGGAAGGGGAGGTGCTTTGTGAAGGGGGTGATGTGAAACTCAGGGCTGAGGAGAGGAAGGGGGTCAGCCAGCCCCACTTATGACCCAGCCTCCTTGGGGCTGCGCTGGATCCCCCAGCTTGGTGAGTGTGCTGGACACTTGTGACTAAATTCATGTGAGTTCAGGGCAGGCCAGAACAATTTCTCAGGGAAAGGGAGAAAGCAGACCCTAGGGCACGGAGACTAGATTTATTAGCATGGAAAGAAATTCAGTCATTAAGACACTGATGCCCACATTAAGAAATACAGAAAATGTGTGTAAAAGGTTAGAATTGCTGGGATAGGAGGGGTAGTGCTAAGTGGCTTTTGTCCAGCCTGCTAAGAGCATCTCTGTTTTCTAGCTACAGGTGTGCAGGAGTCTGCCGGTGCGATGTGAAGTCTCTAGGACCCTAGTTTTACTGGGTGAGTGATTCTTCTAGTCCCTTTTCTGTGTCAGTGCTGCTGCTTTCTGACCCGTGGATTGGGGAAGGTGAGACGATGCTGGGGCGATACCATACAATTGAGCTAAGCTTTATTATAAAGGCATTTTAGCGGGATGGTCCCTACAGCCCATATAGTTCACACAGGCTCTGACACATCTAGACACGTGAACATCATCATTCTACACGTCCCAAAAATGCAACCCTTAAAAATACAGTGTAGGGCTCCAGCTGCTGAGTCCCAGGGAGAAACTTTTTAAAAAAGACTTGTTTCCTAAACCACAGAGCTAATATCTCTATAGCAACTACAGCTGCCTGGCACCAAGCTCCAGAACAATACCCTTCAAGCTCTGTTGCACACATACCTCTTCTAAGTGCAGAATGGTACCATTTTAATGATCAGATTAAGTAGACATCACATAAAGAACAGGCTGGTACTTAATACTGCAGTGTAACTAATATAGCTTCCTGGTAGTGCATTGAGAATCTCCAGTGGGGCTGATTTGCACCAATTATGGCTCCATCCCCTAGTCCATAGAACAACACACACCACTTGTATTACTGATTATTCTCGCCCAGCCTTTCCTGTGTCATGTCACTGCGTTAGACAATGTTTCTGAACCGTCTTTTTCGCTAGGGAGAAAGAGTCTGAACTGTTACTGAAATGAGACCTAGGGATGTAGCGCTGTTGTGCATGAATGTTTCTATTGGGAAGTTAAAGGGCTGAAGAAACATGAGAGAGTCTTTGCACAATTACATGAGTAACTTTCATCTAGTTGTAACTTGAACATCGTCTCAGCAAATTACTTGGCATTCATGGACAAAGTCTTGCTCCAGCCTGTCTCTCGTCAGCCACGTTTTTCAGCCAACAGTGCTTTTCCTCTCCGAGTTTAGAGATGGGTTAAAAATTGGGTTTATAACTGAATTCTGATTCCATCTGTAACTCTGGAGAGGAGTCTCTTCTTAATATGAGGGGTAAAATGGTGCAGTTGTCTAAACCCAAGAATCAGAAACTCCTGAGTTTTCATTTCATCATCAACCCCTTGTATGCAAATCATCCCTGCTCTCATTTTTCCAGTCTGTAAAATGGGGATAAATAACATTTACCACCTAGAGATGTTGTGCCTGTTAACTAGTTATTGTCCATATAGGCCTTTGACGATGACAACAGTTATATAAGATTTAGGTGGTAAAGCATCGGGGCGTGTCTATATGAATTTGGGACAACAGTGTACGTTACACTTTCAGTTTTTTTGAGGCAAAGAGAAGCCAGGTGTGGATGATAACTAGTCATCCCCAAAGAATATAACCCCACATTTTACACTTTCTCTCTGCATAATCTCCATCCAGGGAGTCCTTATTTCGGAGATCAGGGAAGGGCGGATTAGGCACATCAGGAACATTCCTTGGACTAAATAAATTACATGATACGCATGTAGAATCCTTGATATTGTATCACTCGGGGGCTCCCAGTTGTCTGCTGTGGGAGACATGAATAGGCAGGGCTAGTGGTGGGGTGTGTGTGACGGACCGGGCCGTGTCTGGGCACAACTGAGAGCGTCCGCTCAGGGCGAATTGCTCAACTTTGGGGCTCCTTACAGTCCCCAGACTGGTGACCTCTCCAAACAGGCCACAAACCAGTCCCACAAAGCGCTTCAGCTGCCTGCCTGAAGCCTCACGAGCAAAACCCCTCCGACACCCCAGCAATATCCGTGCCCCAGATGGCCCCGAGCCTCATACACAGGTGGGGGAGGGGGGTCCTAGCACCCAATCCCACCTACCCCGAACAAGTTCTGTCTGGTTCCAAGAACCCAGCCACAGATCCTTGGTCAATTTACCCTCTGGATCTTACCCACAAATCATGCTGGGCCAATCCTTTAGAATCTATATCTAAAGGTTTATTATCACAAGCAAGAAAAGTATGAGAGTAAGGTTGTTAAAGAATAGTACGTTACATGCACCGAATCTCCCAGTCTTCGATGCAGGCTCTAGCAGAGATGTTACAGCTGCTGGTTTAAAAGTTCTTGTTGCACATCCTAGCATCAGGATGGGTTCACAGGTCTTCCGGGCTCTTCGATCCCTGCAGTGCTGCCTCTGGGATGAAGTGCTGAGCTGAGAACAAAATGGCATCGACCACATGGCCTCTTTATACCTCCTTCCTGGCCTCTTCTAGTATGTAGCAGGTCACCTGGACAGAGGCCAATCTCTGTGTTCCCTGCTGGCTGCTCTCAGGTGACAGCCCCCATTCTTTAGGTGTGTCCTTGTCCCATTGATAGCCAGTCCCACAGGGCCTCAGTAATTAGCATGTCCACAGGCCCGGCCCTGCCCAATGCTTAACCACATGCAGGGAAATCTTCAGTGTCCATACAAGTACATGCTAATAATTGCACACACAGACATTATACAAACACATGAACAGCGTACATAGGATTATCAGATAATAAGCTTCTATTCAATACCTCACATGGCCCCCTTCTATACCATTTTTGGGGCCAACACCCCCACCTATGGGTGCATCAGTGATCTGGCTGCTCCCCTCAAGATCCAGCAACGTGACAGTGTGTGACTGCTGTGGTGCCTGTTAGGGGAATGAGGAGAGCTGTGGACCGGGATTTGGGAAGTCTGTGATACAGAGGGGTCATGGGGCAGGATCTATAACAGAGTCTCTGCTAGTAACAGGGAGAAGCCCGGAGTGAGGGCCCTGGCTGGAGAACAGGATGTCAGTGTGTGAGGGAAAGGCCGCTGGAGAGTGTTAGGAGAACTTCTGGAGGGGAAGCTGCAGAGGCTCCTAGTCACTCAGGAACGTGAGTCCCGTCTGTCTGTATCACAGCTCCTGGTGCTTAGTTACACTCTCCAGTTGCTGGAGCATTGCTGAATGGGAGGATTTCTCCTTTGTAGTGCTACAGAAAGGGAGGCTGGGTCGGCTGCAGAGACGCATCAGAGCAGGGCCAGGGATGTGAGCTGAGGCATCCTTACCACAGGATGGCTCTGTGGGATCAGATCTGGCTCAGACGCTATAATCTGGGAGCTGGGGGAGGGCTCAGAGCAGGGCTGCTCCCTTCCTGCCCTTAGATAGAGCCAGGAGCCTCCTGAGACGTAGAGAGCACCTGCTTGCCAGGAGCACGGAGGGGAATGTGTGTGTAGAGAAACTGGCCAGCTGGGGCCGGGGCCAGGGAGATGGATGGAGGGACACACAAGGATACAGCGGATGTGGGGAGGAAGGAAGGAGGCAGGGAGAACAGAGGAGGGGGGGGAGTCTGTATGTGTGCGAGAAATGAGTGCAATGGCTCTTCTCCAGGAGGGGGTCCCCGAGAGGGTTGTACAGGGGACTCATTCGGGTGCCCCCAGCCGGACTGAGGCCATGATAGAAGGGATCTGTGAAAGGCGCCAGCCTCGTGGAAGGCCAGTTCCCACTGGCTAGTGGCTGCAGTTTAATTACAGAGAGAGGCCTGAGCCACCTGGTCACATCCGGTCTAAATGCCCTCTGCCGGCGGGCTCAGCGCTATGGCAAGGGAATGGGGTCCATGCTGTCGGGGGCTTGAACTGTGGATCAGAGGGGCCTGTTTACACCCAAAGCTGGCAGGTTCCCTGGTCTGCCTCTAACCAAAGCCCCTTGCATAGACAATGCCCCCCAATCCCCACTGGCTGGAGGGGCTCTGATCTTTTTTCTGCTCCTGGGTCCTTCCATATTCCTGCACAAAGAGTCATTCCCAGCCTGCTGGGTCCACTGGCCTGTGGCTAGCAACCAGCAGTGGGCCAGCCTGCTGCTCTGCTGCCTTTGCCCCGGCACCCGATTCCCAGCAAGCGGCCGGGGCTCTGGCATTCAGCTCTCTGTGCTTGGGGCAGGTTGCCTGGATGCGGCTGTGGTGAGGGAGCTGCTCAGACAACTGAAGAAGGGAAGCCCGGCCCAGAGAGAGGACGCCCTCGCCGCGCTGGAGGTGGCTTTGCACAGGAGGGCGATGGCCCCTGAATCCCAGGTGATGGCTCCTGTTGAAACTACCCAGGGGCCAGCACTGCCAGCCCCGGTATGAGATGGGGCAAAATCAACAGCCCTGCTCTTCCTTTCTGTCCCTGCAGAGTGTGGGGGGCTCCCAGGCCAGGCTCGTCAGGGCCCTAGAGCAGCTGGCAGCCTCACAGGACCCGACAGATGACTCAGTCCTGTCTGCAGCCACCTGCCTTGTGTTCCTGGATGCATCCAGTCCCACCGCCCGGGAGGTGCTGCTCAAGTGCCTGGCCCAGCAGGACATGAAGAAGAAAATGCATGTGCGGATCCTGCCTGAGCACTGTGTGCGCCTCTGTCCTCCATCCTCGCCTCGGTCCCCTCCAGGGCCACTCACGAACCTTTCCCGCGTGCTGTGCCTGTTGGCTTCCTTTACCTGGGGAAGGTGAAAACTGGGGCAATGCCAGACGGTTCCCTCACCGACAGCCTGGTGATCTAGACACCTCTGCCTGGCAGGCCCAGCTGCATTCTCTGCAGCCGCTCCCTTCCCAAAGGGCCTCCTTTTGCCAGTGCTTGCCCTGGCTTTGGATGGGAGATGTGTGTGTGTGTGTGTGTGTGTGTGTGTGTGTGTGTGTGTGTGTGATTGATGAGGCGGTTTGGATCTGGGGCCCAAATTCTTTCTTGGGGTGGATGATCCTTCTCTCTCCATCCCTGGTAGGCTTTGAACATACTGGTGAAGCACATGGTGGTAGTCAATGCCGATATCATCCAAGCCCTTATAGATCAGCTGCGCCATTCGCCAGTGTACAAGGTAAGGAGGCAAAGCTACTGCCATCTCCAGGAGTCTCACTTTCCTTCCTTTCCCTCCCACTCTTCCCCTTTCCATGGCCCTGCATTTGGGAGCCCCATGGCCAGTCTCCAGATGCCCATATGTAGGAGCCTGGTTACTGTAACCATATGTCTATTGGCCAGTAAGTATGGTTCGCTTTGACTTCCTCCATGTCTATGTATTTTTATCCATGAGCCTTAAGGGTCATGCCTAAACATATGGTTGCCGTTGTCCCTGTGCCTAATTGGAGCATCACATCTCCTGTTGCCTGTCTTCAGTTTATAGATTACTTAAACATGACTAGTTATCACCTTGAGGGTTGATGGGTTCATATCCCAAGACCAGGCCCAGAGTTACTGATACTGGTCAATAGTTGGGAACTCTAATGTGCACAGGTGTGACACTCACACTATAGAAACTTATTTACAGGCTGTCCTCACTATAAGTCCAAGATACGTTCCAAAAAACTTGGACTTGGAGTGAAACAACTTAAAGCGAGGAATTGCTTCCATTTGAGCAAATTTGTTTTTTGTTATTTTGTGCGTGACTTAAGAGTGGGGCACAGGAGGACTTACAACACATCAGTTCCTACAAGTGTTGGCAACTTCAGCGTGGAACGGATGTATACCGGGGTGACTTATAGCAGGGACACCCTGTGTATTTGGAAACATAATTTATTAATACATTTAGCGCAGTCACATACACCCCAACTCAGTAAGGTCAATAGAGGTACCACAGAATGTCCATCTGCACCTCCAACACCATCTCCTGTAGAACACCCTGATGTGTTAGTCATCGCTTTCCCCATCGTGACTAGTGGACATCGTTTGGGCACCTCCCAAGGACTCCATGGCTATGTCTACACTGGCATGAATTTCCGGAAATGCTTAAAACAGAATAGTTTTTGTTATAAGTATTTCCGGAAAAGAGCGTCTACATTGGTCACAGATGCTTTTCTGGAAAAGCCCTTTTTCCGGAAAAGCATCTGTGGCCAATGTAGACGCGCTTTTCCAGAAAAGAGCCCCGATCGTCATTTTCGCGATCGGGGCTTTTTTCCGGAAAAGACTACTGGGCTGTCTACACTGGCCCTTTTCCGGAACAGTGTTCCGGAATAAGGACTTATGCCTGAGCGGGAGCAGCGTAGCTTTTCCAGAATAGCGGCTGAGTTTGTACAGTAGAGCGTCGTTGCTTTTCCGGAAATTCAAGGGCCAGTATAGACAGCTCGCAGCTTATTCCGGAAAAGCGGCTGATTTTCCGGAATAAGTGGCCCAGTGTAGACACAGCCCATTTCCTTCTTCTGCCGCCCCTAGCCTGGGATGCCACTTGAATAATACGTTATGCTTGATACCTATTGAAAAGGGGATTTCCTTCTTTTTCTTATCTGTATTTCCTCACCTTACTAATGTTGGAGGAACCTTTTCCCTATAGGTTATTATATCCATGATCCTCTTTATTATCATATGTCTGTTCATTATGATGGCCCCTTAGGATTAGGGATCACACTTATTATTTCTGTCCTAACCAGTTCTGTCCAAGTTGTGGTGTGCCTGCTAAGTTTAAAAGTCTATGAAATTAGGAAAGCCCTTGTGCCAACCTGCCTTAACACATCCTCTATGTTAAAAGTCCCAGCCACGTAGGTTTTAGCGCCTCACCTTCTTTCTAAGTGCAAGGTGCCAAATACACATTTGCTAACTTTGCCTTAACTCAGCATTCAAGATGTGACCTGCAGGTCCCCTTGTGTTGCTGCCAAAATACACTCTAATATAAACCTATCAATAAAGCAAATAATCAAGCCCATAAGAAACGTATAAGGAGAGATCTATAGGCAAGCAGGCAGCCTCTTGGTGACCATCCTAGTTCATTGTAGTCTTTTGAAGTCTCGTGTCAAGGGAATGGGTCTCCATCCTTGCTAGGATGGCACCACCTCAGCCTGCCCTTCTGGGCTAACAGCACAGCGATGACCTCCAGCTGGTGGTACTTCCAGCATGGTTCCCTAGCATGGGCTCTCCCAGCCCAGAGAGACATGGAGTTAGCTCATTTGTAACACAGAGCCCCTCTCCCGCCTCCCTTCTCCGCAACACAGACACTTGCAGCATGTGTTGCATGGAAGTCCTATGCGTGGCTGACCAACCCTGGTGCACTCTCTTCATGCTGCTTCCCCACAGCATCGTGCCGATGCTGCCAATCTGCTGAGCTCTATGGGGCTGGAGCGGATCCAACAGGAAGGCTTGGAAAAGGAGGTGTTCCAGCTGCTGGTGGAAAAGCTGCACCGGGAGCCATTTCTGGTGAGCCATGGGACAGGGAGGGTTTAATCACCATAGAATGAAACAGCTGATTCCCTTCCCAAGCAGAGGCTCCCTAGAGAGCACATCAGGACCGTGGGACCACCTCTTGCTTTCCCTGCTCCAGAGAAGGGATATTAATGTAACAAGCTTCCTCCCCAACCACCTCCCTCTCCAAGGGGACATCGGTATATAGAGGCTGTGCTAGTGAATTCACTTCCATTTAAGTTTGAGCCCAAGTCCCAGTCAGGATCCAAACTCCAGGGGTATTTCAATGGGGGGCTATGGGGACTGGCCAGGAGGTTTGGATAAATCACCAGAACCCAGATCCAGATTATAGTTCAGGCTAATCTTAGTCTTGATTTTATTGTATCTCTCTCAGGATTCAGCAAAACACTGAAAAGGTGACAGGGCTGAGCCTGATCAATAGACACTTCCCTCCCTTCCTCCCTCCCACGCATGCTGCTCACCACCTCATCAGGGCACCTGCTCTGAAAGGTTCCCACCGTGGCCTGCCCTGCATCTCGTTCCCTGACCCGCTTCTCTCTCCCGCTCACAGGTAGTGAGACAGACAGTGGCAATGGCTTCAGGAGCCCTGCAGATGAAGGAGCAAATCTGGGATCTTGTGGAGAAGTAAGCGGGAGCAGAAGAGGAACAGATCCGGTTCTCTCCTGCTTCTGTCCCACCTCGTGCACTGAACAAAGCCCAAAGGCCGCTGGGGTGGGCTGGGTTTGTTGCCATGATAGTATCCCCATGCCCTCAGCTTTAGGAACCTGCCTGCTGGGCTAATTTTCCCTGGATCACTCACTATTCTCACAGTTCCAAGGCTTAGCCTTTCCTCTGGCCAGATGGTAGCAATTGGACTTCCAGGCAGAAGCCCAGGGAAGGAACCTGGGAACTTGAGTAAGGCTTAGCTCCCCAGCCAGGTTCTTCCTCAGCCCCCAGTGAGTGTGCGGTGAAATTTAGCCACTTCGTGTTACAGCACAAGCCCCCAGGTTTGGGACTGGGGAGTCACTGAATCACGTTGGGGGATGTCACCAAAGTGGGGGGAGTTTCCCTTTGGATGACCTGAAACCACATTAAAGACGTGCTCCTCCCACACCTCTCCTCCCAAAGGGCTTAATGAACAGAGGAGCCACCTCCTCACCTGCCCCTATCTACTGGGCTAGCAACAGGAGAGGCTGAGGGATTTGGGCTTATTTAGTCTCCAGAAGAGAAGTGTGAGGGAGGATTTCCTAGCAGCCTTTAACCACCTGAAGGGGGATTCCAAAGAGGATGCAGAGAGGCTGTTCTCAGTGGTGACTGATGGCAGAACAAGGAGCAATGGGGGAGGTCTAGGTTGGATATTAGGAAAAACAATTTTACAAATAGGGCGGTGATGCACTGAATGGGTTCCCTAGGGAGGGGGTGGAATCTCCACCCTTAGAGGTTTTTAAGTCCTGGCTTGACAAAACCCTGGCTGGGTTGATTTAGCTGGGATTGGTCCTGCTTTCAGCAGGGGGTTGGACTCGATGACTCCTGAGGTCTCTTCCACACCTATGATTCTATGAGCAGCGGGAGGAAAGGCTGTGGTCAGGCAGAAGGGGTTGGCTGCTGGAGGGGCTGGGATCTGCCAGCAAAGGCACAGCCTCAGCAGCCCCACAGAAAGAGGGGCAGAAGGTGGCATCCCAGTGGGAGTGCGCTGCCTTTAAACCCTGTGATCAGGGAGATGGAGCCTCATTTCTCTCCGGTAATGCTGTGTACATCATGGCAGGCAGCTGAAGGAGAAGAGCGAGATAAGCCGAAAACAGGCGGCGGCTTCCTTGGTAAGTCGTATTCTGTTCTGACCTACTAGACGTGCCAGATGTTAGTTACCCTAGAGGCAGTATGGGGCTGGGGGGGGGGGGAGGAGGATGGAGTGGTCATGTGATCTCCCTGGGCCGGACCCCATTTGCCTTTTCATCTGGCCATCACTTCCCTCTGTTTCCAGCTCTAGTTCATTCTCTACTTGCCGTGTCCCGTCTGTTCGGCCATTCTCTGCGGTTCCTCACCCCGCCCTACGTGACGTCCTTTAACCTGGGGGCTGTGTATTAGCCTCTGGACCTGCAGCCAGGCTGGTTTCAGAGCTGCCCGGACAGACTGAATGGCTCGGAAAATGGGTTGTGGAGCTGTCTCTGGGTACAAAATGCAGCCCAGGTGACTGGCTAGGAAAAGCTGTTGCCACCCAATGGCTGGCTGCGTGTCTGTTCTTTCTGTGCTGGACACTGTTCCCATCTCAGACTGTCTCCAGAACTGTGCCCCTTATTGGCAAAGTCCAGAGATTGCCTGGCCATGGACAGTCTGACCCCTCCGCCCTGGGGGTGGTTCCTGGTCAGGACGGAGGGTGGTAGCAGCACAATGTGGGGGATCCTGCAGGAAGGCAGCCCTAGTTGTGGGTGTTTTGGTAACAAACAGACGAGTTTGATCGCCAGAGCTGTCCACATCGCTCCACCTGCCAGCACTGCAGATGCTCAGTCAAAGGGCCCCGGCACTATAGACTTCATCAGTCTTGGAAACGAACCAGTAGGTGACGAGGCTTTTTCCAAACCCTCTGGATTTTGGCCTTTCCAAGTGCCCCGTGACTCTGCTCCTACATCTCCTGTCTCTAGGGTGTCCTTGGTCTTCGCAATAAGCACATGTTCTTCTCCCTGCTGGAAACGCTGGAGCTGGACAGCAGTCCGGCCGTGCGCATACAGGTGAGTGAGGCTCTCCAGTGAGGCATGGGGTCCCGGAGAAGAGGCCTCACCTGTGTCCAGGAGCAGAGGCCTCACCTGTGTGTGTAACTCCTCACTGCAGGCCATTCGGGCGTTTTGCACCCTGGGAATGAACAACACGTATGTGCTGAAGACTCTGAGGCTCAAGGAACAGACAGATGAGGCTATCGCCAGGTGCAGGGCAGGTGGAGGGATCAGGGATAATGACCAAAGTGATTTGAGACCCATGGAAGGGAGGCGGGGGAGTGTTGGTCAGCTGGAGCTGGGCCATGAAGCTTCTCGGGGTCACCTCTGTCTGGTTTGGGGGTGGCGAGGCAGGTCTGTGAGGTACCAAGGTTGAATGGAATAAACTCAGTTGGATTGAAGCTGGGTTAGAAATGGGCATGCCACATGCCAGCCCAGAAGAAGTGCCTGTTGCTTCAGGGAGCACATGGGGAACATGTATAGAGTGGCCTCCAAAGGCAGGGAGAGCCTCTCCACAGGGTGGACAGAGGGATGATCAAGCATCCAGAGGTGAAATTCTCCCCAGCAGCTTTCCTTTCCCTCCCAGTCTCTCATCGCTCCCTTTTCTCTGCTTTTAGCGAATGTGTGAAAGCCTTGAAGATCCTCCAGAAGCTCCCCAGTGCCAGAAGGGGCCTGGAACTTCAGCTCTCTCAGTTCTTTTGAGGCCTTGCTGTCGGGGGGTTGCCTGCTGCTGTCTGGGGGCTCTGAGGGAGTAACTGATGTGAAGAGAACACTGGGGATTTAAAACAGGCTCTGTAGCCTGCGGTTCTTCGGGACTGTGTGTGTGTTTGCATCATCTCCCGAGTGTGCTGGGAGGTTGGACTATTTGTGTGTGTGTGTGTGTGTGTGTGTGTGTGTGTGTGTGTGTGTGTGTGTGATCTAGATATATATTTTAGAGTGCATCTGTCTGCGAGCCCATTTGTTCAAAAATTCCTCCTAAGCAAAGGCCATCAAGTTTGCTACGCAGCTTCCTCCTCTCTTAACTTAAAGCAAGGTCGGGGTTTGGATGTGCCAGGACAACCGGAAGCCCCAGGAAAGGGTCTGTTTTCCATAATGTGCAAAGGGAGGGGCTGCTGTTCAGAGGGACGTACTGTGAGAGTGTCCACTGGGGGCAGTTGCACCACCGAGCGAGTCGCCAGCAGGGTTGGGGCTCCACCATTCTGCCTGACCCCAAACCTTCCCCCCCCCCAACCCTTGGCTGCAGTGCTGGGGGTGGGGGAAAGAAAAAAGGCCCCTGGCAACTGGGGAGGGGGCGACTGGGGGGAGAAAAATGCCCCTTGGTAGCAGACAGTCATGGGACCGCTCACCCTGAGCTCCTCCTCACTCCTTGTTCCCCTGCCCCAAATTCTTGCCTTCCCAGGCCCATGGCTGCACTGCCGGAAGTGGGGTGGGAGAGAAAAGACCCCAGGCAGCCTGGGGGAGGGGAGACAGAAGGCCCCCTGGTGGTTGACAGGATTAGGGGAGAGAAAGAAGGCCCCTGGTAGCTGGGGGTGGGGAAAGAGAGAAGTCCCTTCTGGCCAGGGGAGGGGGAGAGGAAGCCCCACTGGATGGGACTCCCAGTGCCCTGCCCTGACTCCTGCACCCCCACACAGCCAGCCCCCCTGCCATGAAGCACTCGGACAACACCCTGTAACTCCTCTAGTTAACATCTAAAGAACCAGTCCAAGTGCAAAGTATTCACTGCAGCCTTAAAGGCGAAAGCATCCCCCATGGCAGTGGAGTGGAAGAAGAAACCTCCATCTGTACCCACACTGAGTGTTAGACGCCTCCAGCCCTGAGTGGATAACATTGAATTAGCTCAAGTATCAGAGGGGTAGCTGTGTTTTGTCTGAATCTGCAAAAGCAACGAGGAGTCCTGTGGCACCTTCTAGACTAACCGATTTATTGGAGCATGAGCTTTCATGGGCAAAGACCCACTTCATCAGATGCATGTAGTGGAAATTCCAGAGGCAGGTATAAATATACAGGCATAAGAAAAGACTACCAATCAAGAGTAAGGCTAGAGATAACGAGGTCAATTCAGTCAGGGAGGATGAAGCCCACTTCTAGCAGCTGATGTGGAGGTGTGAAGGCCAAGAGAGGAGAACCTGCTTTTGTAGCTGGCTAGCCATTCAGTCACAGGGTTGAATCAGCTGCAACCCTGAGCTCTTCTCTTGTAGCTGTTGCATTTTCTTCCTGTCTGAGGCTACATCTAGACTATACATCTCTGTCGATAGAAAGATGTAGATTAGGCACATCAAAATTGCTAATGATGCAGGGATTTAAATATCCAGTGCTTCATTACCATAAACATGGCGGCCATTTTTTTCGAAATGCAGCTTTTTTGGGAACCCTCCTCCCAACAGTCTAGCTGCGGATCTGTCGAAAATAAACCCTTTTTTGACAGATCCTGTACAGGCAGTCCCCAGGTTACGTACAAGATAGGGACTGTAGGTTTGTTCTTAAGTTGAATTTGTATGTAAGTCGGAACTGGTACATATTGTAGGGGAAACTCTAGCCAAACAGTTTTTTTAGTTTTGGATAGCATAGGGAAAGGTTAACTCCCCTCTAATGTTTGTTTTGCTGTCTGTTCCCCTGTTCAGAAGATTTCACATCTATTTCTGTCCCTGTGACAAACTCAGGACTAAAAGAGTAACTCATCAAATACCAAACAGCTCTGCACCATGCTTTGAGCTAATAGCTTTATTTCCACACACCACCCAGGGTTCTAGGAGGAGGGTCCTTTTTTTGCTAACACAATGAGGCCAGCACTTTGTTTGTTTTGGTGGAGTCTTTGTTTGCCCAGGGAGCCCAGCATGTATAGGGGGAGGAGGGGCGGAGAGGCTGCTTTTGTCTGCTGTTCGCCAGCCTGTTGCTCAGGGGAGGGGGCAGCCTGTTGCTGGCAGGGGGGGGCAGCGGGCATGGGGAGGCACTTTTCCTCTGCCCGGCAGCTCTGCGGGACCCCAGTCGGAGCTGGCCCGAGGAGGAGGAGGATCCTAGGACCCAGGTGAGCGAGCCCCGGGAATGCTGCTGCGCATGTGCGGGAGTTGCCTCGCCCCGTTCGTATCTAGGGATCCGACGTAAGTCGGATCCACGTAAGTCGGGGACTGCCTGTAGAGCTTCCATGGGGGGCGTGGGGGAGGCACTTTTCCTCTGCCTGGCAGCTCTGCAGGATCCCTGTCCCTGTGGCCAGCTGCTGCAGGCAGAGGCCAGTTGGAGCCGGCCGAAGAGGAGGAGGAGGTGGATTCTAGGACCCAGGTGAGCGAGCCCCGGGGACGCTGCTGCGCTCCGGGAGCCCGGCATGTATAGAGGGGAGGAGGGGCAGAGAGGCTGCTTTTGTCTGTTCGGCAGCCTGTTGCTGGCAGGGGGGTGGAGGGGGCAGCGGGCGTGGGGAGGCACTTTTCCTCTGCCCAGCAGCTCTGCGGGACCCCAGTCGGAGCCGGCCCGAGGAGGAGGAGGATCCTAGGACCCAGGTGAGCGAGCCCCGGGAATGCTGCTGCGCATGTGCGGGAGTTGCCTCACCCCGTTCGTATCTAGGGATCCGACGTAAGTCGGATCCACGTAAGTCGGGGACTGCCTGTATTCCTCAAAAAATGAGGTTTACAGGATCTGTCAAAAAAGGGTTTATTTTCGACAGATCCGTGTCAAGACTGCTTTTTTTTTTTTTTTTAAAGCACCATTTTGTAAAAACGTGGCGACCAAGTTTATGCTAATGAAGTGTGGGATATTTAAATCCCTGTTTCATTAGCAATTTCGATGTGCCTAATCTACATCTCTTTGTCGACAGAGAGGTCTAATCACACCCTGATAGTGGGGCTGAATTTCCTTGTAGCTGCTGGCCGGGTCCATGGAGTTAGGAAGGATGTGGGCATTGCAGCAAAAGCCTGTTCGGTCAGTGGCATGCTCTGGCCTTGCTTCTGCAGCCTTGTTCCTGACCACTTGTCACAAAGATGCGCTGAGTTCAGCAATCAGGTTATTGTCTTTATTCTGGGGGTTTGTTGGACTTCTCTGTGCTGAAAAATAACCTGATCACATCTGATTAGACATTCCCTGTTCTATTCACATAGCTGTAGCTCTCCAGAGAATTGCAAGGAAGTAATTTTCTGTGTTGTAATCTTTTTTTTTTAAGTTGCTCTGTAACACCTAGCAACAAAATAATGTTTCAACAAGTGTGTTTTCTTTGTTTTGTTAACAAAAATCACCTTTCTCAGGACATAATCTGACCCTGTGTCCTAGAAGGCAGGAGGTTCTGGGTACTAGAAGGCAGGAGGTTCTGGGTACACATGGCCGCAAGGCCAGCTATTAAGAAAAATTACAATTTTTTTCAAGCTCTCTCCAGAGCGAAGGTTAAAGAGCTTGAGGTATCCCACAGGAAGAAATTCCCAAATGCATCTTCCCGGGTTCTCAAAGGGGTTTTTGCATTTGGGTGGTGGAAGCAATACCAATCCAAAGCAGGGGATCTGTGACCTGGGGGAGTTTTTAATGGAAGCCTTTAGTGGCAAAATATTTTAAAATCTCTTGTGGGTCCTCATCTTCTGCCCTTGGCAGTGCCTGATTGCTGTATTGTTCAGGCAAACACCACAGGAAGATGCACAAAGCCTTGGGATGCGGAGATTTGGCAAGTCTCATCCATTATGGGACTGTCTACCATTAGAACACTTCAGTATAAGCTTGACATGACCTAGCAATTTTTCTATGCCAGGATGACCTTACAATAACAAGATCAGCTGACTTTCATGAGCTTCTTGTGTTACATTATTGACGGATTAAATAACATTTCCATATTCTATTTTTTCACGCCTTGAATGATTTTGTAGACCTCTAACATATTCCCTCACCCTTTAGTCATTTCTTTTCCAAGCTGAAAAGTCCCAGTCTTGCTAATCTCTCCTCATATGGAAGCTGTTCCTTACCCCTAATTATTTCTGTTGCCCTTTCTGTACCTTTTCCAAGTCCAATATATATATCCTTTTAGATGGAATGACCAGATCTTCATGTAATATTCAAGATGTGGGCATACAATGACTTTATATAGAAGCAACATAATATTTTCTGTCTTATTATCTATTCATTTCCTAATGATTCCCAATATTCTGTTAGCATTTTAGATTTCCGCTGTGCATTGAACACTTGTTTTCAGGGAACTATTCACAACAATTCCAAGATCTCTTTCTTGAGCGGTAACAGCTATTTTAGACCCCATCATATTTGTATGTACATTTTGGTTTATGTGCATTACTTTGCATGGATCAACACTGAATTCCATTTGCCCTTGTGTTGCCCAATCACCCTGGTTTATGAGATCCCTTTGTTACTCTTTGCCGACAGCTCTGGATATAACTATGTTGTGTAATTTTGTAGCATCTGCAAATTTTACCATCTCACTGCTGTTTATTCCTTTTTCAAGAACATTTGTAAGAAGTTTAACAACAATGGTCCAAATGCTGATCCCTGCAGCACACCACTATTTTTTTCCTATCGGGAAATGTTTTCATGATGATCTAATGATTAATTACTTGAATGCCAAGTCTTTTATTATCTTCATCACCCTGCCTCCCTCTGTTTATAAACAAACTCCCTGCCACAAAGGCAAAGCTGGAAGTCGTTCAATCTCTGTTGCAGTTAAGCCCTGCCTCTGGAGCTGGGGCATGTGCTTTTAGCAGACCTCAAGGATGAAATCCAGCAGGGGCGGGGTGTGTGTCAAACTTAAGGGGAGGCTACTGACCTCCCTATACCCCCATAAATGGCACCCTTGTCATGAGATCAGTTACATGCCCAACATGTGTGTTTCAAAAGC